TGGGAGATGGTGGACCTCCAAAACGATCTCCCATTTCTTCTTCTGATTCATCATGTACAGAAGGTGGTCCTCCAGGAACCACACTTGGTTCTTGAGCTTCTGTTACTGTACTAACTTCAGGCACAGGTACTTCACCCATAGGTGCTTCATCAAATAAACCACCTTCAAATAAGCCACCAGCTAGAAAAATAAATGATATATATAATACATACAATAATGATACAATTAATAATTAAATAATATAATTTTTTCTATTTATATTAATTTAAATTATTTACATATGATATCTTGACCAAGATGACCACCAAAACCATCATCTCTAATAGGCATATCTATATCCATTGCTTGTGCTGTTACTGACGGACCTGGTACTGGTTCTTTTTCTTTTTGTTCTAAAGTTGCTTCAATTCCTGGTCCATCAGTGAATAACATATGAGTCTAAAAGATTAATATAAATTTTATATCGTATAAACAATATTAATATATAAAGTGATAAAAAAAAATATACTTGATCTAATGATGGTTCTACAGCACTAGCATGCCTAAGTAATTCTGGAGGTTCTGCATCAAAACTCATGTCACCAAATCCTTGGTCATGTGTAACCAAAGCTAAACTTCCATAATCTTCTCTCATAGTGATCTCTTCTGCACGTGACTGATTTAAACTAAATTGTGCTTCAATATCAACATCTCTAAAATAAAAAATTAATATTAAAAAATGTTTATAATTTAAAATAATTTTATATTTTTATAAAATTATTATAATAAATTAATTAGTTAATTAATAACTATTTAAATTGAATATATATACTCACTTTAATTCTGGCATTGCTGTATCAAAATCATGAAATACTTCTGGTAATGTTATAGCTGTTACAGCAGCCTCTCTATGTTCTTCTGGTAAATCTACCATTCCAGGCCTAAAGGCCATTTTTATTTTAACAAAGGCTTCATTACAATCAGCTAAAAGATATTTAGCTTTTCTTGAATATATGCGTACTACACCCAATAATAAATGACCAGATGTTCTTAAAGCCATTTTTACCTATATCAATTAAATGAAAAAAAAAATTTATATTTAATATGAATTTATTAAAATATATTCTATTTTAATAGATATTATACAATCTTGAAAAATATAAAAATATGAATTATTATAAATCAAAAATAACAATAAGAATGCTATAATTTGAATTTATACATATAAATAAAAATAATAGATTAATTAAGATAAATTTATTTTCAAATACCTTTGGTTGTAATATACCATCCACAGATTTTTCAATATTTGTTTCAAATACATGAGCTTTTGTCAATTTTTTGTCCCAATGAGCAGCTAACCAAATACGCGCTAATGGGCCTTTCTTGGCCAATACGAAATGTGCGTAAAACATTTTTAATTTGTGTTATATGCACTTCTACAAATAAAGTAATATCATATTAATAAAATTTATTAAAAAAGTTTCATATTGTTTGTAAACACAAAGCCTAACAGAACTATTTTGTTAATATGAACTTTCGTTAGCAACATAATTATCACCTTATAATGATAAAACCAATTGATGTGTCAATTGATATATAAAGTTAACATTTTTAACATTTATAAATACTCAAATTGAGTCATGGGACTCGAACAAATAATAATCATGTAATTTTTCTTAATTTACTAAAATATCAACATCTTTGCACAAGATGGCGTTTCTATCTACAATTTTGGCGGTTACGCGTAAGTATGTTGAACACGTAATATGTTTTATTTATTTCCACATAAAATGTATTACGATGACGTTATCGATAAATCTTAAATTATTATATTCATATTTTATATAAAGTATCATATGTAATTATTGTATTATAAAATCATTAGCACATACGGTATGTTTCTTTTCAGCGCGTCTTCACAAGAACCTGCAACTAATTTTACTGAACGTTCCAAAACTTATTCCATTAATGATAAGTATTTGTATTCGTAAATCTACAAAAGTTTGTTCTTTGAAATCTATATTTATATTTTGATAGAAATTAAATATCTATCAAATATTTCAGTATATATTGGATAATTATCCTTATTTGTTGTTTTTTATAAAATATAAATATACTAATATTGAAAAATGGATTAATAGAAAATTATACTATTATTTTTTTAATATTCAAAAATTTATTAAAATTTTAATTTTTACTAATAGCATTCAGAATTTTAAATTATTTTTCTAAAAATATTTTTTTATTGTATATAATTTATAAATATTAATGTTTATATTTAATTTATTTAAGAAACATTATTTGAGTAAAATTAAGTTTAAAAAATATAAAATATATTTAATAAAATCATTATTTTCTCATAAGAGTATTATTATAATTTATGTGATTACAAAGTAACAAATATTTTGAATAGTAGATAATAATAATTTCTAATAGTATCATAATTTAAAGTAAAAATTTTTGCTTTATAATTTGATACTTTAAAAATTCGCTTTAAGTAAAATAGTACAATAGTATAAAGATCAGTAGTGAGGTTGATAATAATTATTAACCAAATAATTGAAAAAATTTGATAATAATTAATTTTTTTTGATTCTTTTTTAAATATATATATATACATAGTTTTAATCATTTCTGTTTAAATAATAATTTTGTTTTTTTTATATGAAAGATAAAACATAATTTAAGTTACAGAGATGCATAGTTCCTTTCTTGTTATGTTAGGAAGTCAATAAAATGGGAAAAGTGTATTCTCTACTTCTACGACCAATTCGTACATTTAATATTGAAAATCGTGTACAACGAGTTATTTCAAAAGATAAACCAGTGCCTGCTCCTTTACATTCATCAGTACAGAAACAAAAGAAGCTTGTAGATAAATGTATATTTTTTCTTAATATTTTTACTTCAATTTTTAATTTTAATTTTTATTTTTTAAATAAATATTCTTATCAAAAAAAAAATTCTTCTTCAATTCTTCTATTCAAAAAGAAAATAAATTATTAGAAATTATAGAATGTGATTATATTAACATTTTATGTTTCAATTAAAATTTAATATCAACTATATTTATTTATTATTTAAGATTTTAAATAAAAATTAAATCTTAATTATTTAAGATTTGATTTATTTTCTATTTAAATATTTTATTTTTTAAAAATTTAACTATTATTATATAATATTAATTTATTTAAATTAAGATAAATAATAGAAATTTCTTTTTATTTTAGTAAAATCTGATTTTATGGAAATTCACTATAAGAAGGATTCTCAATTATATGACCGTTTAAAAAATGTTTTTGTTAAATCAGAAGATCCAAAGGTATTTCATTAAAATGTATATCATAATATAATTATATGTTTATTAAACTGTCAATAGAAAATAATTTTCTTTTTATTTTAAGGATATACCAAAACAAAGTACACCCAAATTACCACAGGATAGAAGTCAACGTTCTTCAGTTGACTATGATTTTAAAACTTATGAGGGTAAATGTAATATAAAACAAGTTATACATTTCATGAATATGCACTATGAAAATCCTATAGAATATTCTGTAGAAAAAATATCTCAAAAGTACAAACTAGATAAACAAATAATAGGTAAATATATTATTAATATGTAATATATTATTATTATTTTTAAATAAATATATATACATATGTTTAAAAATCATATATTGTTATTACAAAAGTAATTTATGAATATCATTTATTTCGAAATGCTTATAAACAAAGTTTTTTATTTGAATTTTATATTCTTTTTATTTGAATTTGAAAATATATCTATTTTAATTAACTATATTATATTAATTTGTTTCAGAAAATATTTTAACATATTTTAAAATTTTACATTGTGTAGCAGATGCTGAACAATTGAAATTAAATGATGGTAAGAAAAAATAATAATTTTATTTTACAATAAAATTTAAACAACTTATAACCATGTAGATAGCGTAAATAAATATTAATTTATTAAAAATATACTTATCTTCATTTTATTGTATCTCATTTTATTATATAATGATAAAATTTAATAAAAATGTAACTATTATTTCAATATATACTTATCTTGTTTATATTATGTTATTTTATTTTAGTTATTATATGTAAATTCTTTAATACAAAAACAGAGGTAAGAAAAAAAAGAAATAATAAAAATAAGTAATAATGAAAATATTTTAATTCTTTTATTTTTTACAGAAAATTAAAATTATTTCTAAAAAAATCTTTATTTACTAATAAGTAAAATACATCCTAATATCTCTGTTTTTTACACATATAAATTTTATTTACAAAATGTAATTCTATAAATATTTTTTAATATTTATATTTGTATGCTAGATTTTCTATGAATAAAAGATTTTTTTAATTCTTTGTTTTTTAATTTTTAATAATACTATACAAATCAGATATAGAATAGATTAAAATTAAAATATTCAATACAGTTTTTTTCTCATATCTTTGGAATATATGTAATATTTTTTTATATTAAAAATTCAAAATTTTTATATTAAAGATTAAGACAAATACATTCTAATTTTAAAAAAGAAATGAAAAATATTCGATTAACATTTTGCACTTTATCTTTAAAAAAATGAGAAAAAAACATAAGTTAAAAATTGTGCAACCAACGTTATTTCTAGAATGTCAAAAGATTCAAATGAGAGCAAATAATTGAAAAAAAAAGATAGAATAAGAATTGATAGGCAGTGTCATTTTGAGTAAAAGATATTTTTCCGTCAAAATCTATTTTCAAAAATATTCAAAAAATGGCGCGTAATTCTTTTTATCTTTATTTTTTCTTATCATGAAAAAATGTCTTTGATATCCAAGAGATGGCACTGTATGTTTAATTCTTATCATATTTCTATCTTTGTTGCACTGTTTACTTTTCTTATTTATATGTTTGATGATGGTATCCCAGAGATGGCGCTAATTGTACAATTTTTGTCTTATTTCTGTCATTATTCTATTTTTTTTTTTTGGAAAATACGTTTAAGAAAGAGTTCTGATTAATTTTATTGCTTGAACATAATGATTAAAAATCTTAATAGAATTTCGATGCAATTTTTATATATTTTAAATAGATATTTTAGAACATACAATATAATAGGGTATAAAGTCCTATTAGATCCTGTATTTCTGTGATAATATCTCATTTTAATCAATGATTTTGTGAATTTAATGATTGCAAAACCTGAATCTAGAATTGGCAGTAATGTATAAAAAAAAATAATTTTAACATATATTAAATATAGTTAATAAAACAAGTTGCTTTTTAAATAAACTATTTTTAAACCCTATATATATATATATATATATATATGTATAATATATATATATATATATATATATATATATAATTA